GCAGTTTTGTGCCTGCACACCGACATCATGTTGTCGTCCATCCTGCCTCAGTGTTAAATGGAAATGGATGTGAGACTTTAGAGACCACGCAAAACTACGTTTGACCGATAGAAAGAAACGAGGTGATTTGTTTGGCGTTAGTCAGCAAGAGTATCCAGCTTAAACATGTATGTTTTCATTTTTACTACAACGGATGACGTGAGCAACAATGCCCCTCTGTCCTGCTGTCTGTTTGAGGTGATTGTCCTCGTCGCTAAGGCAACCAGCTGTTATGGTCACACAACACACACACGCCGTTAAAGGACAGATTACATCACTCTTTCACTCCATTTGCTGATGTTTCAGATATGGAATGTGGATAGGATTGTGTGTGTGTGTGTGTGTGGATACATGTGCCTTTTATGTGTAATGATGCTTTATCTCACTGTGAGCATGAAAGAGAATGTCTTAGTCAGACGTAAAATATTTGTTTTGAACTTTGAGGCACAATGCATTCAGTGTCCTGTATTTTTACACAGAACAACGTAAAAAGAAGCTACAGAATTTAAATGTAACCTAGCTTCTGCAGCTTTGCAACTTTTGTTTTTGTTAGCATTGCTCAAATATTTTAAGATGCCTAATTTGTCAGGAATCATTAGTTCACAAGATTATAGGGATTATGAATTATTTACACACAGGACTGATTAAAACCAATGGCGTTTGTAAGAATACTATTAGGTAGCAGGGATCTGTAGTACAGTTTTTTAACTCATTTTGTTGAATGTTTTTGAGAAAAACTTGAGCAAATCCTTCACCTGAATAACATTTTAGCTGAAGATTGATTCCTTCAATCGACCATCAAGTTTTTAAGCTGTTATCTCTAAAATACCTGTTCAAATACCTTGAAATTTTTAAATACACACAGCTGAAGCCCCAGGAGGATTACAGGCGTTATCGAGCATTTGTACTCAGATATTTACCAACTCTCTCTTTATTTAATTCAACGTCTCTAAGAGCTCAGTGGCACGTGAGCGTTTCATAATCTTGCTGTTATTTTAGTCACGATCCATTACTCACTTCCTTTACCCTTTTGCTTCTCAGTGCCTGGTGTTATTGATGTTTTATGTTCAATTGATTTTTTCCCTTGGCTCTACTGATGTTTGTATTTTTGCATATAATTGTCTTTTAGAAGCAATCCACTTGGGGGCAGTCTTCATTGTTTGTTTTTTTTTTACCTTTAAGTCCTGCAGCGATTCGGTGTCATCTGTGGCCTAATTTAATTTTATTCAACACCCTGAGCAGAATTTGTCTCATCATGACTGTCCTCTGCATCCCCACCCTGTTTTCCTCTGTCTGTAGTGCTGCCAGCTCTGGTGGACAGGCTGGGTGACGCCAAAGATCAGGTCAGGGAGAACAGCCAAGCTCTCATCCTTCGCTGCATGGAGCAAACTGCTTCACCCATGGTGAGATACTCACAGGCTTGCGCATAATCAGGACCATGAACAGAAAAAAAAAATCTTTTAACCCAATCCTTACAGCATGACGGAAAATAAACTCTTTTTTTTTTTGTTTATTTTGTTGTTCATTTATTGTTTATTTTAAAAGAAGCATAAGATTTGGTTTAAAATAGTCAGGATGAGTGTTCTAACTGAAGCAGATGGCCTTATTGTTTAAAAAGATGATTGTGTTGTTATTTTATGCCTTTTTATTTATTTTTATCTATCCGAAGAGCCATTTGGCAACAAACGATTAACATTATCTTGGAACAAATCATGTGACGTGGCATCGAGACAACTGACAAATCCATCCATCATCACGTCACGAGTCTTTGTTTTGGCTCTCTCTTCTGGAAATGAAAAGAGCAACTGAGGCTACAACTATTCTTTTTTGTTGTTGTTGTTGTTGTTGTTGTTGTTGTTGTTGTTGTTGTTGTTGTTGTTGTTGTTTACACACAACACGAGCACATTGCCACAGATTTGAACCATTCTGTTTTTTGTAATTTGCCCAGCTTCTGATATGTGGACCTTCCTCTGCTGCTTCCTTCTGACATCTCCTTTCCTTTTTTCTTCCCCTCACACACTTGGCCGCCTCATCAATTTGTTTCCCTCAATAAGTACGTCTGGGAAAGGCTTATTCCTGGGTTTAAACACAAAAACTTCCGCAGTCGAGAAGGAATTTGCCTCTGTCTGAGCACCACGCTCAGCACGTGAGTAATTTCTCCTTAAAATTGTCCTTGCAGGGTAAAATGGACAAGGCTGCTGTGTATTTATGAGCTCTGTTTGGCCTGTTCTGTAATTATTTGGTGAACGAAACAAGAGCTACAGCGCTGTTTGTACAACCTTTCGTGACCCACTTTGTTCGAGAAACACTCGTGTTCTCTGCAGGATTAATCCTCTTAAGAGTTTGTGTGACTCTGTAGAATTAGAACAAGTTAAACAAATCGCTTTACTTCTGTCATGAGGTGTTACCGCTTTCAGGCATAAATGTTTAATTTTGTTCTCATATACTCTAATTTTTGAGAATCCAAGAATAAACGTCACAGTGACATTTCTTTATTTAGTAGCCAATAATTAGTGAACTTAATTTGTCATTTTACAAACATATCTGTTTATGTAATATTCCACAGCTTCCTGTTTGTTGCAGTGTGTTTGACAGCAGTATTTTCTACACTAAGGTGACAGGCAGTAAATCTTGTCTGATCGAATCGTGCTAATTTTAGCATCTTTTTGCTAATGGAAAGTTGCTGAAGTATTAAGCTGCAACCTGATCGTAATGCTGGGGATGTTAGCTTTGTGGGCTCAGGCAGCAAATAAATCTGAGTAAACGGAAGAAATTGGGACACAGAAATGCTCCGGGTTTTCACATATTTGCAGTGTTTTTCTTTAGAGAAAATAAATTTTCAAGTATTGCACTTATTGAGAAAGTGCAGTGCAGGAGAGCTAAACAACATGGTTAGAGACTAAACTTTCTCTGTTTTATCCTTTTTAAATGTATGTTCTAAATCTTTCAAGTTTATGTAAAACAAATACTGATCAAATAATATATAATATATTTTTATGTAATATTTAACTGTAACATTTGTCTTTTTAATGTCATATTGCCTTTTTTTCAGGTATGGAGCCCAGCCTCTCAGCCTCAGTAAATTAGTTCCTCATCTCTGTACTCTGACTGGAGACCAGAATCCACAGGTAGGACACATCGAGACTTTAGTAAAATTATAACCACGCAGTATGACTTAGAGATTGTTTGAATTGGATCATGTCGTTTATGTTGCTCTTCAAGTGTTTTTACATATGACTTGTAGCCCCAGATATCTTCAGACATCACTGGGCACAGCTGTTAAAGTCTAAATATGCTAATTATTTGATGATGAAGGTCCTTAGCTAAGTCTGTGTAATTTCTGATTTAGTGAAGATGAAAAGAAGACCTGTTATTTTGCCAAGCAAATTTCAATCTGATCTTCAAACAGGGTTTGTGCAGGGTCTTAAAAAGTCTAAAATTTTAAGATAAAAATTTTAGGCCTAAAAAAGTCTTTTAAAATGCCCAGATTTTCATCCAAGGTCTTAAATTTTATTTTGTCAAGTCTTAATTTTTTTTTTAAACTTTCAATCATTCTCGAGAAGCGTTGTCTGCATAAATAAACAGAGGAAAGCACAGTAATCAGAGCTTGACGTGGTCTGCCTTCATGAGGTGCTGTTTTCTACCGGTCTTTGTACGTGGTTAAACTACAAGTCCTGTGATAACTGCAGGCAAAAAACAGCACAGTTTACTTCCATGTTTTCAACCACTTTGCCATTACAAGCCCCCGCACATGGCAGCTTGTTCACCCACCCAAAAAAAACAAAGAAGTTCAGTCATGTCCGCTGCTTGTCGTTTAAACATAGGAAAGTGTTTTCAACGAGACTCGACTTCATATCAGTGATTTTTACACTCTGTAAGTGGTCCACAGCAGTCAGATATGACCGTTTCATTAAAATAATTCAGTGTTCTTGTATTAAAATTAAATATTCTTTAAAAGCTAAATTTATAGCAATAAAAGGTTTCTATGTTAAAATTTCTGGGACCACTTGAATGTTTCTGGACATGCGTTAGTTTGGTCTTAATGTCATTCCTAATGATCTTAAAAGTTCTTAAATTTAACTTACTGAAACATGTATGAACCCTGTTTTAAAAAGTCAATAAAAAGTCTGAATATAAAGTGGAAAAATAGCTTCTTTTTTTCTATATGGGTGTGATTCATGTATTTTGGAGTTTACTATAAACTGGGTACACACCTGCAGGATAACATTTATTAATATATAATGGGAATTTGATGTAATGCCTGGTTTAAAATAAGTGAAAAGCAACAGAGTTTGCAAGCTGTAAATTGACACCAGTTGCATTAAATTCCCAAACTTGCAAGAACTGTATTATCTGCACTTTGAAACTGTCAAAAGTTGTATTGATCCAGATATAAGGTCAAAGTGATGAGCAAWGAGTCACATTTCGCTGGCACTGTTTTCTTCACATTTAATTCACACGTCCGCCGCACACATCTCGTACTGATCACGTGGTTTAGCTTTCAGCGATCACAGCACATTAGCACACATCTCCAGCCAGCTCTGTGATTATTACAGTTATTAGAGAAGAAACTGGCTCACCACCCCCACTGAGCCTCATCGCTGATGTATGAGCACCAACACCTAGTCGTTAACCCACACAACAGCTCCGAGTGTGTGTTTGTGTGCAAGAGAGAGCAAAAGGAGGAATACAGAGAGAATGCTTCARCCTCCCGTGGAGTTGGACCAAAAGGCAGAAATGACCTTCTACCCAATCATTAGTTGCCCACATGCTGTCTCGACCAATCACTATGCTTGGCTCACTCAGTTACAGAGAATCCCTGGAACAACGTCTAACTAACCAATCACAGCTGTGCTCACAATATAATGAGGAAATGTCTCCCATTGGAGAGAAGTGTACGAACCATCAAGGAATTATATTTTAATAAATATTTGTTGCTATTTCTTGTGTATCTTTATTTGCGACAATTCCAACAACCACACAGACATATTGGCATGATACACTGGATATAATCTCATATGTGGGGTTGTTAAATTGCTTTATGTCTGCTGTCAGGTACGGGAGGCCTCTATAACAACATTAGTGGATGTTTATCGTCATGTTGGAGAGCGAGTCCGAGCAGACCTGGGAAAGAGAGGACTTCCAGCTGCACGGTGAGATTTTCAGCTTTTTGTTGGCGACTCTGATCGATCGTTGTGTGTGCGTGCGTGCGTGCGTGCGTGCGTGTGTGTGTGTGTGTTCCTGCAGTGGGTCTGTGAGTCCTACGGTGCTGGCACCCGGTCTGTCCCAGGCCACATCATGCACCGCTCTGCTTTTCACAAACACAGAAGCACTTTCATTCGGAGCACAATGCTGTTTGACCGAGTGAGGCGGGTGGGAGGGGGCAGCCAGGGGACAAAGCTGGTGGGTGGAGAGACAAATTTGGGAGGACAAAATGAGTGAAAATTTGTGTGCTCAAGATGCCTAAAGAGGTTGTGCGAGTGGTGCTTACAATATTGAAGGTTATTCTAAGCACACAGTGACCCTGAATTTCCCCCTCCCGTTCCCCTTCCATCCTCGTGTGAGATCGGAGCTGCAGCCGGTGTTTTTTGGTGACTGCTCAGCATGAGTCGCTCGTCTGTGAATTCTGGCTGTGTCCATGTGTCATGTGTTGCGCATATTAAGCCCGTCTGTCTCCTGTGTAAACACTCTGTCTGTGCATTTTGGGATTTATGCTCACTGGTGTGATTGTTTGACTTTAGATAAACGAAGAAACCAGACAGATGTGCAGATTTAGGTTTGTGCTTTATCTCCTGCAGACGCTGCATTAAAAAAAAAAAAAGATTATTGCATTGATATTGTCTWACTGGTTTTATGTCCCAGTGTTAAACTTGAGGCACAGTCCTGCGTGTCTGAATTGTGTGTAGTTGCTAGGAGGGATGCAGAACTGCAGCCGGGGTTTTGTAAAGAATTTTTGTTGATCTTTCATCAAATTATAGAGGAAAATAAAAAGAGTGCTAGCTGAGAGGTTCAGAGTTAAAGGTAGAAATTTGAGAACTACTGAAAAGGGAATGACTCACAAGTTTAATCCTGCACATTCCAAAAAAAAACAGATCAACTGCATCTGTCATCTGACCTATGAATAATTTTGGAGCTATACATGCACTATGCTACGTTCTACACCTGAAACCTTCGATTCTGGGCTATCAAGGATTATAATTAGATTTTCTCACTCTGTGTATTATTGATAACATAAATTTGCCTAAATATTGCTATCATCTGTCACTGTTTATTGAAGACTGGAAAAGCTTGTGTTAAAAACAAAACCTTGAACTACCCATACTCACTTTTGTTCATCCATAGAGACCAAATGAAGTGGTTTGGTGCCAGTTTTAAGTAGCTTGGCAAAATCAGCAGAGCAGCATCCTGYGTCGTGTTTGAAATGACTCATTTCACCACACTTTACACCTTTATTTGGCTCGCTGGCCACCCCAGCTGCTGGCTCAAAGGTGCATCAGCTTTAATTTTGCTGCTATTTATCACAAATTGAATGGTAACAGCAAAMAGGCTCAGGCTGTCAGTGACTGCAGGTCTGTTATAACCTGAAATTATCAAGTATTTAATTAGAAACTGGACTTCTAGTGACCAATAAGGTCACTGTATTTGCATTTGATGTTTTCGTTAGATGTGCAGAAAAACTGAAGCAGGMATGTAACTTGGTATATTTCTGCAGTCTGTGTGGAAATGGGTTTATTATCTCGCGTTATCTTGGGGTCTTTATGTGTTCAATGATAAGTCAAATGTGAGTGGAGTCATCATTCAGTGGAGCACTTGTAATGTGCACATGGCTTTTAAATCAAAATAGTTTGAATAAATGGAGTGTCATCTCCACTGGATTCAGGTCGACCCATTTTCAATGACAGCCAAGATGTCAGAGAATAAGATTTAGCTTCTCGAATCGGGAAATATGAAGGAGGAGGGGCTTCAGGCAAATGGGGAGAGAAGGGAAGGTGGGTGAAAAAGAGAGGAGGAGCGTTGTTCTGTCTGCTGCTGGCCACAGCCCCTCCCCMTCTCACGGGTGTATGTGTCTGACTATGATGGGGAGGTTATGTAAAGGGTAACTGAATCTCTTTGCTGCCTGTCGAACGAACCGGCTCACATGAGTCCGTGTCACACAGATACACAAAACCCTCATCTAAATTTATCTCTGTTTTACATTAGTGCTGTCTCAGTGGGTGTTCTAAGGAAACCGTATTTGTGCGACAGTAGGCGGTGTTTTGTCGCATGTCTGTGGCATGCTTCAGTCGCTCTGTTTGGCACCCCCCATCTCTCCCTTACGTCCTCCCCACCTCTTCTCATCTTCTTCGCTCCCTCCCTCCCTCCCCGTCAGAGCCACTGCACCATGTTGGATACAAAGAGCCGAGGACCAGAGTGTGTCACTGGCATGGGGGGGATAATGCAACGTTGCGGAGCAACACAGCAACCTACTAATCAGTCCACTGGGAAATACTGAAACAAATCACAACCGAAGACTAAACGCCAGGGTATTTCTTCACGAGACAAATAACATGCTCATGAAGGGAAGGAAACCACTTGAAGGCACGGCACGGCTAAGGAGCCAGTCGCACCGCTAATCATCATTTCTCAGGAGCTGCTTAGCTGTCTGGTGATTGAGGACCGGCAACCAAACACCAAAAGACAAGAAAAGAAGACAGGTAGAGGACTGGGTGCTAATTCTTGTGTGCTCACTTTCAATCCCGTGGAAAAGACTCCATAATGGATATTATTCATGTGACCTTTTTTAATTACTGCTGTAGATGTTTGAGTCTTTCATATACATAAAGTTAGTATTTTAGCCTGCCTTTGTACATTTGGACAAATGTTTCTGGAGAGTCCTACCTTTGTATGACATCCAGGAGCACATCTAGCTTGTGATTGTGTGTGTTTTAATGTTTAGGAGTGTTTTTAAAGGACTCTTGTCATGTTGCTGCTGCTTCATAAGTGTGACTGCCATAACAGACACACCCACCTATCGAAACACCCGGCGAGCCACATGTTGCAGCTGATGGTGTTCCCACTTGATATTCACATCGTCTCGTTTTGTTTAGGTCAACATTGACTGTGTGACGGACAGTTCAGTCTCGTTTTTTTTACTGACTGCTGTTTCTCAGTGACTTGTTCTTCTACGTGTGTTTGTGTTTTCCTCTAACCTTCTTTTTCTCTCCTTTTTTATTTTGCAGGTTGCAGACGATATTTGCCCGTTTTGATGAAGCCTTGAATTCAGGAAACATGGCTCTCAGCCCTGGTCACGGTCAGTGCCTAATTTTTTTTTTGCATTTATTTTATTGCGCTTGTGCTGGAGAGCCACTGAGTAGAGTCACATTGTCAAGATGGTTTTACTGCTGTCAAGTAGTGGGTGTGTTGGACAAGAACACTGAGTGTTTGTGAGGTGGAGAGATGCATGTCTAAATCAGCATATGCTCATGTGGGTTGTGCCCGTTTGTTGCTATGAGCTCTAGTAAGAAGAGCTAACAGGATTAATGGTTTAGTCTGTGCGTGCATATGTGTGTTTGCAGGTTTTCTAGAGCCAGACCTAATTTGAGGGTTACTCTTGTTGCTTGGGATTTTTTTTCTGTTCTGTATCTGTGAGAACTTTCCAGAAGCTTTATTTCTTACAGTAATGGTACATGTTGGAGTTTTTGCTGACCTGAAAAACTTAAAGCGAAAATAGAAAGTTACCAACAACCAAACAGTAACAATATTATAGTAGTTTGCATAGAAATGCATTGGAAGTGTGGCTACTTTTTAAGTGTGAAGGATGTAGTTTTAGTTTTTTTGCTGTTATTTATAAAGTCATCTTTTTGAGCATCACCTAATGCTCTGAGGGTAGAAATCTTTAGGCAACTCCTGATTTGACTGGATTATGATTCATAAGGTTATAAAACAATTACTGATGTATTTCAGCTATAATGAAATTTAAATTATTACTTTGTTTTATGTAAATAAACACTGACTTGTATGTTTTCATGCCTAATATACAATAACAATAAAATGCCTCCCAAAAAAACCCTAATAATCAACAATTAGCAAAGATGCTAACATCCTGTTGAAACRCCACAGAAAAACACGATTAGCATTGTGTGACCGTCGTGTAGTAACTTATTTCAGCAAAGAAGAAAAAAAACATTTTTACTGCAGCATGTTTCAATTATAGGAGGCAGAACTGTATAGCAACATCACCAACTCTTAAGTGGCCACACAGATTAATTTTAACAAAACAGATTCTTGATTTTAAAAACTGATTTTGAATCTTTCACCTCTGATGCAACACTTTTAAAACAGATTATATCCTCCATCACTATAATACTCCCACAGACCTGAAGTTTGATATATTTTGGAGGGAAGCATTTAAAATATGGATAAATGTGGAATAAAATAGACATTTGGCATCTGGATATATTGAAACTTTTTGTAATTCAAAATGATAAGGGAAATTTTAAGTGAAAATACTGTAGTCCATCAGTTTGCTCAGATGCAAAAGGCTTTAAGCCTGAGATGCTGCTACATTTTTTCAAACTTCTGAGCTAAGAACACAAACTTGCACCACATGTTCAAACACACAGACGCACAAAAAGCGTTCCCACTCGTCCTTGCCCCACATCGCTTTTAGGCCAACTCCTCCCGTTTGCTTAGTGACGAGGAGACAAGGAGGGAGGAAGGATCGAGAGAGGAAGCTGACAGAGGTCTCAGGCGATGGCCGGGTCACAGCTCTGTGCCTGTCACAGCCTCTCTCTGATTCATCCTGACCGAAACACAAAGAGAGACTGAATTAACAAGAAAGGAAAGGTGGCAGAGGAGCAATCAAACGGGAGAGTTTTAGAACCCAAAAGGACAAAACGAGCACAGAGAGAGGCAGCAGGGAGATTTTACACAGAGCACTAACTAACTATGGAAGTTGGTGATGGTAGGAATGGTAAGTGTGTGTCTGTGTGTGTCTGTTTAATCTTATCTGGCTGAGGATTTTGGCACCAAGACAAAAGCTTGTCAGCATATGGTTTTAAGCTAAAATCAGCTTAAACTCCAAGTGCTTTCACCCGGGTGCTGTGGCCCAGATGAGCCACATCATCAAATGTGGAGGGAAAAACTGGGGTGTCCCAAGATGTCTTCATCAGGATGCATTGAGTTTGTTATTGTGTGTGCAGAGATAAATGTGTTTGTTGTGATGGATGAAAAATATCAGAGAGGTTGGGTCGTCACCTAAAGCCTGACTTGAACTCACTCATGATTACATGGCACGAGATGCGCCTCTTAAATAAGTGAAAGCTTTTTATATTTAAAGTTTTTTGCTTTTTAAATAAGCCAATAAAGGTCATTTTATCAGTTTGGATCATAACAAATCATGAAATAATGCTGCAAAAAACAAAAACTACAGTACTTACCCACTACTTTTATTTATCAAAGTATCACRAGCTTTAAAATGTAATGAATTAGTTAATGCTTTAATTTTTGTAAATCTGTGACTAATTCAAAGTTACAATCAGAGGAGGAGCAGATGAGCGAAAGATGTCACTACTGTTTGAACCTTTTTCTTATATAATATACTTCCATCTAAATGTAAGAATGCTAAACTTCACATACACTGGTACTGAGGATATGCATTTATCTGCAAACTYCTCATCAGCCTCGTTACTCTGCATGGTCCCAGTGTTGACAGAGAATGGCCCACAAACCTGCAGACATTCTCATTCTGCTTCAGTTCATCTTCGGCTCTGTTGAGGGAGCCATGACCCTCTTTCCAGGCCAGACTGGTTGCTATAGCAAGGCTTTCCTCTGAGTATTATGGGTCATCCCTTTTTCATGACTTGGAACTGAGACTTTGTGTGTCTCTTTGTTTTAATGAGATTCTTTTTTCTCTCAGCTGGGCTGGAAGTGGAGTAGTTTGTCTACGTTTAGGGAAGGGAAAAAAAGCAATGAGCTGAACTTTTGTTATGTGTGTCACTCATCCATTCCTCCAAACTCTCCATCATTCTCTGAGCCATCCTGGATGCAGCGTTATCAAACAGTTTATGTAGAGTTTGTGTTTCTGGAATTTTAAATAGTTTAAAATATTATTCTGTAGCTTGTTTAAAGACACATCTAGGAGCAAAAACAGCTTAACCAAAAGCAATTTATTTTACTTTTGATTTTTGTGACTCCAATCCTATTTCTTGTGCTGAAGCATCTTTGTATTTTAGAAGCCGTACAGTCAAAAGTTTCTGTCTTGATCCCTACAGAGTTACTCCTGGTGTACCGGTACTTCCCTGTTGTTGTCATTCTCATATGAGCGCTGTGCTGTCCAGCTAGTCTGTCAGCTTTTGCACAGGACTCTGCACAAGGTCACATGACTTTGAGTTGGATTCTGTACAGTTTGTGCTCCCAGCAACAGTTCAGAGTGGGTTGTCTGTGTAAAAAGTTAAACTACCCTAAGACAGTTAAGACGTTTGTTTTTACWAATGATGATTAACGTGTTCGTAGTAGAGCCGCTGCTCCTCTACATTAAAGGGATCCACCATTAGTTGTAACATTAGACTTTATTTGATAAACATTTATTTTAACTGTATAATAAAGACTGTAAAAATACTGTAGCCTTTGCGCTAGCGCCAATGCTATATTGCCTTATATGTATTAGCTCGGCACTAGCGCAACAAACAAGCTAAACTGAGGTCCTCCATCCATATTTTCAGTTGCAGGCTGAGTCATTTTTACGTTCCCCTCTCTGTCTTGTGGATGGAGGACCTCAGTGATGAGAGGAGAATGTGTAGCACTGAGCTAATGCACATATATATGGTGATAACATCGGGGCCAACGCTAAAGCTAACAGGCTAAGCTGAGGTTCTTCTTCCATGAAGCAGCTCTGTTGTCCTCCATCCATATTTTCAGTTACAGACTGAGTCATTTCTACTTTCTCCTCTCTGTCAACGCTCTCTGGTTTCATTTAAAAGAG